CCTAATAATGTTATCTCAGAAGATTTATCGAAATCAAGTTTGTCTTTATAGTCTTTCTTGCCTTTTTTCTAATCATAGCCCCTTATTTGTACTTTTAGCAAAAAGACACTCATCAACATAACCAGACGTATGTCCGACTTTGCGCAATCGGAGTGATAATTATAACATATATGTAGACAGGGGGAGATGGTGGTCATCAAACCTTGATGGCCGAAAACAGTCATTACTTATCGAAGGTATGAAGACCAAGATGGTGTGGCCTTTTGTGTGATCCCAGTCTCCTTTCGATATATAGAGGTTGTTTGACCTTGTTTTCGCAACATGGTCATATTGGTAGGAAGACTTATTAGAACGCACCTTGTCCGGAGTCTATTGTCTACATGATCATTTCCAAAGTTGAACCGTAGACGTGCTACATTCCCAAACGTTTCGCCGGCATCGTCTTGTCTCTTTGACGAGTTGTTGTGTGGTCCTAAGAATGGCAATACTCACTGACGATGCCGACTACGATACCGGCGAAACGTTTGGGAATGTACCATGTCTACGGTTCAACTTTGGAAATGATCATGCAGACAATGGACCCCGGACTAGGTGCGTTCCAATAAGTCTTCTTCCAATATGGCCATGTTGCGAAAAAAAGGTCAAACAACCTCTAGACATTACTTATGCTGTCCTAATTATTTTGGGCCATCACTGCTAGTTTTATGCATAGGCTAACACATACAGATACGGGCGCACTCATGCTTCGAGGTAGTCATATAATTGGAACTAACCAAATCATCACATCAAAGAGGTTAGACATAGAGTATATATACAGCTTTTTAGAGATGTGCCGGTGAGTTTTCTTGACTCGTTAGTTTGAATTTAATTGTAAGGATGATACCTTGCTATGATCATGTTCGTCATATAGCGGACGAAAGCTTTGCTCGTTTTCATCGAAATCGAAGGAGATTACCTCAGAAATAGCGTCAACATGAAGATTCCAGTAAAGCCAATCGACAGCTGGTCAAGAGGAATCGACCTTCGGTTCCTTCGAATCCTTCTAATTGTTATTTCATCATGATTACCTTAACTATTAGGCCTTGGATAGTCAAGGATACCTATGGTAAACTTCCTTATGTTGTAGATTTACCGATATTTTCAAAATTCAAACATAAATTTCGCCTTACTCTTATATAATTAATGCGTGTAAAAGATTATATTTTTCTTTTAACCTCCTTAAAAATATTTCGAAATCCAAAGACTGCGATCCCTATAATTTGGATCGTCATGAAGCTGATCTCTTTGATGGTGCGGATAATAGTTTGAATCTAGAGGGCGCTGAAGCTCAAATGATGGACTTTTGGCTAGGACATTTTCGTTGGGCTGGTTGGGGCGGCCTATATGATCCGAGTGAGGGGAAGGAGAAAAGGGAACTATTTCTTCTTGATGAAGCAAAGTAAGTTTCTTTTGAGTTATCTATATGCAAATATATGTATGAATTACTAAAGATGGTATTTTGGTCTAATTTGTAAAAGTTATGTACAAAAGAGGCAACTTTGTCCTATCGTCAGAGCGACTTCAATAAACCCACTTTGTCTAGTCATCGGTTTTAGTAGCCTCAATAATTTCCAGCATCGAACCATGAATTCGATACATGTCTCGAAGTATAACTGGCATCGTGGCCAGCATGGTCGGCGAACCTTTCTGCTTCATTCACGAAACTACACCAAACTGCGTTTCTCAATCGCTTGCATGACTTGGGGGTTTATGAGAACATTTTGATCTCTTGATCTATCACAAAATGCTCTCTTATCTTCTCTATAATAAAGCAAATCATAGCAACTTTACTCAATTGAACATTAGTAGTCAAACACTAAACTAGATGTCTGCTTCCTTCTAAATTTTTCGATTATTAATTTTAGTTAATATATTTCTACTAATCCCTTAAACTCATTCTTCTCATAAGCAATTTTAAAGACTAAAATGGTCAAATAATATCGGAGAACGGGACAAAATTTGTTTAGGCAATTTCATAGCCTTGAACAGAACAGCAATGCTGAAACGAAAATTTTGATCTTTGTGGGTATAAATTGA